TACTATCATAAAGCTGATTCTTTTTACTCTGTAGGCACCACAACAAAGTTAACCCTATTCCTGGCGGGCTCCGCCGGGACAAGAAACTGGCGGGGGGGCCGATTCGGCCCCCCCTGAGATCTCGAGAACGAAGCAAGATAGCGACAAACGGTAAACGGCATCGGATACGCACGGTCAAGATCTACAATTTTTACAAAGGTCATTTTCAGGTCAGGTCAAAGATGACGTCACAGGGGTCGAAAAAGTCAAAATGGCGGCGCTAGATATGGAGAGAGTTTTTCTCGAATAACTTTCGAATTAGTCAGGATAGGAACAAACTAAGGGCATCATCGTGATCCTCTCGTCAATCCGCATCGAATGATATATATGTTGACCTCGAAAGGTCAAGGTCAAAGGTTGACCTCAGGTCACGTGACCTCGAGGTCATCATGTATATCATTCGATGCGTCTTGACGAGCTGAACACAATGAGACCATCCACGCGTCTGTATCTTGTTCCTGTACGGAGTTATTGGCCAAAAACCTTTGGTGACCTTTGATGACGTCACATGACCTCACAGCTGCCCAACAGCAAAACAGACCTCAAGGTAGTGAAGGTTGATCGTATATGAAGTCATGTATGGTATATGGGGCCATTCCGACCCGTTTTAGTGGTAAAAACAGGGAGTTGATTTTTCCCCCATTGACTTATAATGGGGAGATAGCGAAACTGACCTGACCTTAGGTCACCGATATCAAAATTCCGAGATATACAAATTGCACATACTGGTACCCTAACTAAAGCCTGAAGAGAAGAAATTGATCGGTCAAAAACTCTAGCTCTGGCGTGATTGCAAACTTTTCTGAGGTAGGGTCACCAAACCGCCTCTGGTGACCTGACCTGAGGTCAGATCAACTCAAAATTTTCAGACATGTTGCGTAGAAGCCTTTTAGGAAAAGTCAGAAAATTTGAGCTTCCTAGCTCAACGCGTTTGGGAGAAATAACCAAAAAACCTCAGGGGGGGGCTCCTGAGGCCCCCCCCCCGCCAGGAATAGGGTTAAGACCAAGTTTTAAGCGATTTTTCAACGAACAAACCCATTTAAATCAGAATGACTAAACGAGGTGACGTCTCACTAACGGTCGCTCCATGTTGAAGATAGGGCCTTGTACAAGGCCCATTTTCAAATGAAGGGAACGAATTTCTTCAACACCAAGAGGCCGCGGGGGTTGCAACCTAGATAGATAGTGGTTTCTGAACCTCGCCGCAAACTTGGCTATCTCAACTCAAACCCCATGTTAAAGGTGGGATAGTCCCTTTAAGACCCTACATCGGCAGTGGCTTTGAGGGCCCCACACTGGCGCCTCTGAAGGTCTTACACAAACGCATCTTGACGGCTACCTATCAGCAACTCCGTAGGCCCCACACTGGTGACTCTGAGGGCTCCCAGTGACGCCAGAGAGTACCACGCCGGTCTCCAGGATCCCAGGGCTCCTGAAGGTCTTTGCTGGCCCTTGCACTGTAAAAAAAACTTACAAGCCCCTCGTACACTGTAAAAAAATTCACTAGCTAATTTTGAAATTAGGCATTTTTTACGAGTGCCTCCCTTGCACCTCGTTACAACATATATGGACATTAGTAGTCAGAACCATGCACGTTAACAATGCCCTTTGTGGAACAAATGCCTACGAGCGAGAGCATGTTCAGGAACCTAATTTTGCGCAATGTTAATGAACTACGCACAGCCTCACAGTGTTACCCGCCGTTGGCTTGTTCTCGGCCAGTTTTTGGCGTGTCCCTCAATTAGGTCATGTTGCTATTAGCTCAGCTGACGAGGCCCCGGCTGGCACCTACTAAACGGATAACCTTGCGTGCAACCCCGCTTGTTGTCACGAACGCCTGCAGCTGGTAAACGTGCTGGTAAGCTTGCGTGGTAAGCGGCTTCGGATGGCTATGAGGATGTGCCTCATAGCTACCCTCGTCGCATGTTACAACCTAGGAGTCTGTGGCTGCTTTCAGAAGGAGTCCTTGCTGGTTCAGCAGGCTGTCCAAGATCTTTCGAACGGTGCGGATTTGTCTTTCCCATGCTCCACCGAAGTGGGAGGCAGAGGGGGGATTAAACCGCCACTCTATGTCCTGCTTCAACATAGCCTCATGCACTTGAGTCTGCTTCAAGTTTTCAAGTTCTGCCTTGAGCTCTCTTTCAGCGCCAACAAAGTTCGTGCCATTGTCGCATCTGATGAGTTTAACTGGACCTCTTCTAGCCAAGAACCGTCGTAGCGCGTTGATGAAGGAGTCCGTTGATTGACTGTCAGCTACTTCGATGTGCACAGCACGCATGGCCATGCAGGTGAAGACCACCCCGTAGCGTTTCACTTGAGCCCTTCCTCTCTTGACATAGAAGGGTCCAAACAGGTCGACGCCCACGCTGCTGAACGCTGGCTGATCGGGCGTCACTCTGTCTGCGGGCAAATCAGCCATTTCCTGTTCCATGGGCTTTGCTTGACGTTTTCTGCAACTTGTGCACGTCCTCAGAACCCGACGCACGCTTGAACTGCCACGTATCAGCCAATACGACTCTCTCAGCTTCGAAAGCGTGTGCTCCCGTCCTTGGTGGCCCACTTGAGTGTGCGCGTGTCTGATGATCAAGTCGGTAACATGGTGACGTGCTGGCAGTATCGGTGGGTGCTTCATGCTGTCCGAGATCGGGGCCATGGCCAAGCGACCTCCAACCGCCACAATCCCGTTCACCAGGACAGGATCCAACTGCCTCAGCTTACTCTTCCTTGGAAGCGTCTTTCCATTCTGGGTCTCAAGTTCTCCAGCACCCCGGGCTAGGGCTTGGAGCTCTATCTTGAAAGGTTCTTTCTGTACCTGCTGGATGATAGTCCTTTCAGCTTCTCTAAGCTCTTCAGATGACAGCAGGGATGGGCCACTAACCGCTCGAGTTCGTGACCGGGTGACAGGACCTCCAGCTTGGCCATCTGTCTTGATCGTTCTTGACTGTAGAAACTTCTTGAACCGTAGCATCCAGGCTACCGCTTTCCTGAGCCGGTGCCAGTCTGAGTAGTGGTGGATGAACCTTTCAGTGGGGCTCTGTTCTTCCACACCACTCACAGTGTAGCACGCTCTGGGTCGAAGCACTTCGTCGTCTTCTGGTTCTAGAGCTTCCATGCCTTCTGGCAAGGCCGGCCACTCCTTCTCTTCCTTCTGTAGGAAGTCAGGTCCGTGCAGCCACCTGTGGTCCAGGAGTGCTGTAGCCTTTACCCCTCGGGAGGCGCCATCAGCCGGATTCTCTTCTGATGTGACGAATCTCCACTGTGATGGAGAGGACTCATCCTTGATGATCGCCAAACGATTGGCCACGTAGACTTGGTATCTTGCTGTTTCGTTCCTGAGATACCTCAGAACCGTTGTGCTGTCCGTCCAAAACGTTGTTTGGTCGATGTTGATTTCCAGCAGCTCCTTCTTGATGATGGCGTTCAGTCTAGCAGCTACCGCAGCTGCCGCCAACTCCATGCGTGGAACTGTCATCCTCTTAACCCTCGCCCCGTTGGGGGGGGGGCCATTTTGGCCCCCCCTGTGGTTTTTCCTGAATAGCAAGAAAACGGCGGCGCGCAGCGCCGCCAAATTTTCAGTACCTTCCCGGGCATCAATTTGACACCTTCACACCAAATTTTGAGTCTTAGGTCACCTTAGGTCAGGAGTTATTGAGGTCAAACTGAGGTCATGTTCGAGCAAAAATGGGCAAAAAACATGCAATCTTGAAACGCTCACCAAATCTACAGTTATCAAGCAATTTCAAAGTTCTTTATATGGTCTAGTAGACAAAAAGCGGCGCTACAAAACTGCAATCTCGGATTTTCAAAATTTTTGGTTTTTGACCAAAAAAAATCAAAAAATTGATTTTTTTAGAAAAACTTTGAAAAAATCCAAAAATTTTCCGAATTTCGAAAAAAACCGGAATATATGTGATAGTGCCAGCGCTCTTCTATATACATACCAAATTTCAGATCGATATCTCGTTTTTTGGCCAAGTTATAGCGAAAAAACTGTTCAAAAATGATGACGTCAAATTTTTGAACTCAATTTTTAGCAATTCTAGACCACGTACGGCAAAACAAAGACCACCATTGAACTCCCCGTGACGAGCTGCATCGATTCGATACCCATTTTATGCAAAAATATTAACTTTGAAATTTGACCTAATTTGACCTGACCTTGACCTGACCTTGACCTGACCTTGACCAAAACGTGATCTAAGCTGGCCCCAAAGGCTGCCTGACCCATATAATCGCATTTGTCATGTAAAATGGACCATAAAACATGTATCACACGACACTTTCATATTGTGACCCCCCCGTGACCTGACCTCTGTGACCTGACCTGGTATCAGTGACCTCAAATAGCAAAATATGTGTTTGAAGAACATTTACCCATCGATTATTTTCAATGAAATGCATTTTACTCGATTTTACAACGCATTTCTTGAAGTGCCTGTAAACGGTGAAAATTGGACCTTTGACCTGACCTGTGACGTCATCGGTTTGACCTAGGTCAATAAAATTGGGTCACAAGGTAGTTCCCCGTTGGGGCTATCCAACGCCGTTTACCGCTTGTCGCTATGTTGCGTGGTTCTCGAGATCTTAGGGGGGGGGGCCAAAATGGCCCCCCCCCCCCAACCGGGCGCGTTGCTCGGCAGAGCCCAACGGGGCGCGGGTTAAGCGGCGCAACTCGAGACTTCGCCATGACGATCGAGCAGTGGACTTGACCCTTGTCGTTCACCAATCTCAGGTACGAGACCGCACCGTATCCTGTCACGCTTGCATCACTGAAGTGGTGCAACTGGCAAGAAACAACGCGACCAAATCCATCGGGTTTGAAAGACCTTTCCACTTCGAGTGCTTCCAGCTTGGGTAGATCCTCCAACCATTTTGTCCAGCTCCGTTCTTGACTTGGCGTGATTGCGTCGTCCCATCCGATCTTGGTTGCAATCAGCTCTTGCAACATCAGTTTTCCGCACAGAACGAACGGTCCGGCGACTCCCAACGGATCGTAGACCGAGCTGATGACTGAGAGAATCTGTCGTCTTGTCACTGGTTCCATCCGTCTGACATTGACGCAGAAGCCAAGCGTGTCTCTTCCCAAGTTCCATTTGACTCCAAGAGCTTTCTTTACACTTGCTCCTTCCACCAAGTCGAGTCCCTTCTCTGTGACACGTTCAGCTCGATCTGTCGACGGAATCTCGTTCAGAGCTTCTTCCTTGTTGCTGACGTACTTTGTTAGTTCAAATCCACCTCGGCTGCACAGCGTCTTCACTTCTAGCGCCAGCGACCGTGCCTCTTCGACCGTGGGTGCAGAACGAAGGCAGTCGTCGACATAGAAGTTTCTTCGAACCGTCGCCAACGCCTCTGCACTGAAGTCATCCTGGTTGTCACGCGCAGTCTGCTGTAGAGCGAAGTTCGAGCAGCTCGGAGACGATGCTGCTCCAAAGATATGTACGTTCATTCGGTAGTCCTTGGGCTTCACGCTGACGTCGCCCTCCGGCCACCAAAGAAATCTCAGCAGATCTCTATCCATCGGCGGTACTCTGACCTGATAGAACATGGCACGCACGTCTGCCATGAATGCGAATGGCTCAGTCCGGAAGCGCAGAAGAACGCCGAGCAGGGAACTGGTTAGATCAGGACCCTGAAGCAGCACGTCATTCAGGGATACATCACCGTACTTGGCCGCACAATCAAAAACGACTCTGATCTTGTCGGCCTTGTGGGGGTGATACACACCATGATGTGGGATGTACCACACACGACCGTCTGTCCTGTTCAAGCTTTCGTCTGACACCTCCTCAGCGAAATTCTCTTGCAACATGTTCTCCATGAAGGTAACGTAGTCCTCTTTGAATTTTGTGTTCTCAGTCAACTTCTTCTTCAGACTGGCGAGTCTGCGCAGAGCCATAGTTCTGTTGCTTGGCAGCCTCACTTCTGCCGTCTTCAAAGGAAGCGCTACTTCGTAGTGGCCATCTCTCAGTTCGATACTATCTTCCACTCTCTGCAGCCACTTCTCATCTTCTACTGAGGCTGATCTTGTGTCGTCTGACAGCTTTTCACTGAACTCTGCGTTGTACAGCTTGTCGATCAACTCTGGTATCCCTTCCTCTTCGACCTGGACACGATTCGCCGTCACTGTACTTCTCTCGGTGTGTCGAACGGGACCATTGATGACCCATCCGAGCAGAGTTCTTGTAGCGAACGGTCCTCCCTCTTGGCTGTGGATGACTTCCCACGGCTCCATTGCGAGTGGGACGTTGTTTCCGAGCATCAGCTCCACTGGGGCGTCCACACGGGGAAGACGCACGTCCCTTAGATAAGGCCATCTGCTCACATCTTCCTGTCTGGGGATATCACTGTCGTCAACTGGAACTTTCTCCAGACTGTAGACCGCCGGTAGCTGCAGAACATGACGTCCTCCAAGGTCAGCTACTTCCAGTCCATGGACAACCTGACTGTCGATCTTGATCCGGTTCTCACACACGGTTGTAAGGCACAACTGTGTTCTGTTCTTGTCCTGAAGTCCGAGCTTCTCAAGAAGTGATTCCTGACAGAAGCATGCCGTACTTCCACTGTCCAACAGAGCATGTGTCGTCACGGATCTTCCACCCGACCTCACCACCACCGGTACGACAGCCAAACCTGTGTTGCCTTGATTGACACAGCCTGTCTTCACCAACTGTGGCTGTGGTCGATCTGAGCTCTTGACATTGGTTTCTCCTTTGTCTCTTGCATGGTCTTCATCAGGAGACCGCTGTGGTGTCTGACTCGGGACCTTGAAGTTGCCATCTTGATGCAGCAGCGTGACGTGGCGCCTGCCACAGATCTTGCAGGTGCTCCTCTGCTGACATCCTCTTGCCAAGTGTCCAGACTTCAGACAGCCGAAGCACAGACCTTTTTCTTGGATGAACTTCTTGCGCTCATCTGGCTTCCTCAGTCTCAGTGTCTCGCAATCTTCCAAAGCGTGCGTCTTCTTGCAGTAGATGCACTGATTCCGAACTTGCACTGACGTGGCCAGTCCATACTTTGTTCTCGTGCGCTGGCTCTCCTTTGCGGTTGAGTTCGATCTTGAGGCTTCCATCTTCTGACGCCCATACAAGGGATTGGCCGCTATTCTTGCCTCTCTGTCCACAAACTCGACCAAGTCCGAGAAGGTGACTCGCCGTTGTTCATGTTCCATAGCAGCGTCAGCCAATCTTCTCCAACGATCATGGATGTGGAATGGCAACTTCTCCACAATCTTCCGAAGCGTGCGTGGATGATCCGTTTCTCTTAGACCAACAGGCATGTTCTTCATCACGCTGTCACAGACCATCATTGCGACTGCAAAGCTCTGCAGACTTTCAATGTTATCTGCCTTGATGTTCGGCCATACCAACAACTTCTCTATGTGCGCGGCGCTGATGTTCTCCTCATTTCCATACCTCTTTTGCAGAAGGCGCCGAGCCTCCCGGTACCCTACATCGGGTGACATAAGCAGGCAGCCTCTCACAATCTCATGTGGTTGTCCTTCGGTGTACTGCTGCAGATAGAACAACTTGTCGTGATCACTGATGTGTTTGTCTCCAATGCGGCTGTCAAAGGAGCGAATGAATGAGAAGTACTCAGCAGGGTTGCCTCGAAACTTCACAAGTTCCGCTGGAGGCAACTGTGCCTTCTCAGTCACTTGTAGCAGCACATCTAGAAGCCTGGGCTCCTCCGTCACTTGCTCTGACTGTCCACAAGCTCCTTGACCCTCCTGGTGCTCATGACCTTGATTTGTGTCCATATTTTGCTGCAGTCTGAAATCCACAAGAGGCTGAAATGCAGGAGCCTCTACATTCAACGTCTGTGAAGTCTGAGGTTGCTCTTGAGGTGTAGCCAGAGCTCCAAACACCGATCCAGCTCGGCTCCCTCCACACTGAGCAAGTACCCTTTGTTGTGCTTCTTCTTCAGCCATCTGTGCCATTAGAGCTCCTTGCTGTTTCTTGAACTCCAGTTCTTGTATCATTTTCTGAAGTTTACTTTCTTCAGCAGCTTGACTTTTCAGGGCTTCCATCTTCGCCACAAGTCCTGCCTTTCTTGCTGCTGAAAGCATCATTTCCTGATTTGCAGCACTTCGCAGAGAACCAGCCAAACTTCGCTTGCCTGAGAGACCAGACAACTTTGACCCTTGCTGAGACGCACTGTCTTCTGGATGAACTTCATCAGTTGCAGCAATCTCATCTTCCTTTGTCTTGCCTTGTCCCTTCAGTTCACTTCTCTTGACCTCGTCTGGCTTCACACCCTCTTCTTCCATGGCAGCATGAAGACGATGAACTAAAACAGCTTTAGTTCCTCTGAAGTCCAGGTTCCGACTCTCAAGTTCCGCCTTCAAGTCGACAATGCGCAGCTCTTTGATCGCAGCCAACAAAGGAAGGCCCATGACGAAGAAAAGGAAAATAAGGGAAAATAACTTCAGTAAGAACCCGTTGGGAACAGGGAACCAATCAGGTTACAATGTTCCTCTAAAGTGTCCTCCTTAATCCTAGAAATCAATCCAACGCTCCTTTACTGCTGACACTGGCTTAACATCCACACTCTATACACTACTTGTCACACACAATGCTAGCCCAACATCAAGCAGTAATGTAAAAGCAATGGTTATGCAATGTGACAGTGCAAGGCAAGGCACAGCTCAATTGTAACTGTGACAAGTAACTATTCTAGCCAAAATTCTGACAAGTCACAATCAGTTATCAGATACACCCAAACAATGAGCAGCACAGCTCCAAATGCCTATGCAGTAATGATCCTTAACTAACTCAGTCACCTTATTTCTAAATAACCAATAATGACCAAAATACCCTTACAGGAACAACCAGCAAACCAACAAATCAGCCAGCAGAAGGTCTACAATCAGCTGGCAGTCAGCCAAAAACACACAGAATAACTGACAACTGCTCACAATGCAGAAGAAAGCTACTAAGCCGAGTCCAATAATGCTCAATATGCCACTGATCAGCAACCAGTATGTCTTAAATGCTACCAGACAGGGTGACGCAGACGCAAGCAGCTTATTACCAAATTTGTAGTCACACCAAACCAAGTTACCAACTAGCAGCAAACACAAGGTAATTCACTGGCTGATCCCAAAAATCCAATTGACAGCACAGCAAACACAATGTGCAGCAGCATTATTGTTGGAACTTTATGTGATAACCGTTCAGACCAATCTTTGTAACTCAACCCACAGGTGACTCTTTATTGTCATCTTACTGAGCAGTGCACATGCAGGCAGGTGCAGACGGGCAGACGCATATGAGCAGTAGGGCAAATGCAGTGCGCAGGTGCAGGCAGACAATCATGCCCTATGCTTAAGGGTCCATGCAGCGCCACTCGAAGCAGCCGTCAAGCAGATGCAGGCGTGCAGAGACAGACAGGCAATGCATGTGCAGTGAGCAGACACCACGTGCAGTGGACACACCGCGTCCAATAGATAGACACCACGTCCGGTGGATAGACACCACGTCCAGTGGATAGACACCACGTCCAGTGGATAGGTTCCTAAAAAGAAACAAAAACCAATTCGGTTTAACAGATATACCTGCACAGCATTGAGCATCATGCGGGGGGGGGGGCACGCAGCATACATGCCAAACCCATTTCAATCACCTTTGCATGACAAAGTCTCACATCTCATATTTATACATTGCATTTTAGTGACCTATTTACAAACTTACCAACAATAATGGCGGAAAGATTATCACATAGTTTATATCTATCGGTCCAACCAAGATCCATAGACTCAAAGCCTCAGTAACATCAGCCAAGTTTACTGCGCCAAAAACGTCAATCCTCACACGACGAAAAAACCACATCCGGGCACTTCGAGCAAGAACTATAATAAAACCCTAACTCCTGAGCGGTTCCCTGTACGGTGGTGCCATCTCCAGGAAGGAAAGGAAAGCGATCACATGGTAGATGGCGCAACTGAGCTCACCGGAACGGCAAGTGCAGTGGCTGCGCTTACAATGATTATCATAAGGCATACCAATCTGGAAAATGATTAAACTAAAGTTGAATAAAGTGATATATTCCTGCCACAAGCTAGCTTACGTCCCAAACATATAGCTATTCTGACTTGGATAGACGATACCGGCGCACTTCTGCCAACGACGGGCAACATTATGCGATACTATACATCTTCTAAGAAGCTCAGCAACATAATAACTTTTGTTTACAAATGGACTACCTTTTTGTTGAGCACACAGCAAATGATACAAGATGCCTCACCTTCAATCAAGCCAAAGAGCAGTTGGGCAGACACACACAGTAATGGCGACGCAACACAAAATGGACGCCGGCTCCCGGATGCGGGGGGGGGGACTCCTTCTGAAAGCAGCCACAGACTCCTAGGTTTTAACATGCGACGAGGGTAGCTATGAGGCACATCCTCATAGCCATCCGAAGCCGCTTACCACGCAAGCTTACCAGCACGTTTACCAGCTGCAGGCGTTCGTGACAACAAGCGGGGTTGCACGCAGGGTTATCCGTTTAGTAGGTGCCAGCCGGGGCCTCGTCAGCTGAGCTAATAGCAACATGACCTAATTGAGGGACACGCCAAAAACTGGCCGAGAACAAGCCAACGGCGGGTAACACTGTGAGGCTGTGCGTAGTTCATTAACATTGCGCAAAATTAGGTTCCTGAACATGCTCTCGCTCGTAGGCATTTGTTCCACAAAGGGCATTGTTAACGTGCATGGTTCTGACTACTAATGTCCATATATGTTGTAACGAGGTGCAAGGGAGGCACTCGTAAAAAATGCCTAATTTCAAAATTAGCTAGTGAATTTTTTTACAGTGTGCTGGTCTCTTGACCCATGCATGTGTCTCTGAGGAGTGAGGACCCCCACAACGATGCCTTTGAAAGTCTTCGCCGGCGACTGTGAGGGCACCACACAGACACGTCTGAGGGCCCTACACCGCCACCTCTGAGACACCAGTGTCTCCTGAGGCCCAACATGGGCGACTCTGAAGGTCCCACACCGGTAACTCTGAGGGCCCCATCGGCGTCTGAGAGTACCATGCCGATCTCTTAGGACTCCACAGGGCTCCTGAAGATGCTGCCGGCCCTCACTTGCCGGCCTGTAAAAGCCCATTGTTGGCATCATACGGTCCGTTACCGGTCTCTGAGGGCCCTTTGTCGGTCAGTGAGAGGCCCTACTGGGTAATTAACCCGCGCCCGGCTGGGGGTCCTGGATTTCCACGCCCTGCTGGGGGGGGGGGGGTGTTTGAACACCCCCCCCCCCCTTCTAACTCGGCTCCTGGGCCACGTAGCGATACGCGGAAGGCGGCGTTCGAAAGAGCGTAAAAAATAATGAGGAAATCACTTCGGTCAATTTTTTGCTCAGGTCAAAGGTCAGGTCACCAGAGGTCATTGAAGGCAAAATTTCGCCGATTTTCAGGTCGAATGTCGACAATTTCCAAGAAGCCAACGCATAACTCGGGAACCAATAGAGCTACAGCGCCGCGGAAAAGCGCATTCGATAGCCCTATTAACGCTCTTTCTGAGCAATTGTCTCAGATTTGACCTATCGTCAACGGTTTTGCCTAGGAGTCTGTGGCTGCTTTCAGAAGGAGTCCCCCCCCCCCGCATCCGGGAGCCGGCGTCCATTTTGTGTTGCGTCGCCATTACTGTGTGTGTCTGCCCAACTGCTCTTTGGCTTGATTGAAGGTGAGGCATCGTGTATCATTTGCTGTGTGCTCAACAAAAAGGTAGTCCATTTGTAAACAAAAGTTATTATGTTGCTGAGCTTCTTAGAAGATGTATAGTATCGCATAATGTTGCCCGTCGTTGGCAGAAGTGCGCCGGTATCGTCTATCCAAGTCAGAATAGCTATATGTTTGGGACGTAAGCTAGCTTGTGGCAGGAATATATCACTTTATTCAACTTAAGTTTAATCATTTTCCAGATTGGTATGCCTTATGATAATCATAATGTTAATATTCGTTTTTTTCACCCATTACAGACTTCTCTGGTAAAGAATGGGGCCATGTACATAGTCCTGGCCTACCTTCATCCCGCGACTGCCGCCGGTGCAGAGCTTAATGAAAAATCACAAATGTTTGATGGTGGTTATTTAAGAAACCTGATTGCAAATTATTCAGTTAGTTGTTGTTGTTGTTGTTGTTGTTGTTGTTGTTAAAGTTATAGTTATTGTCCTGGCGTTGTTATTGTTCTCGTTCTCGTTCTTGTGCCCGAATAAATGTGCTGCAGCGCTACTCAGTCTGTTTACTTGCGGGTGGCGGTCGAGAGTCGGGGGCACTGGTTGACGGAATTCCGTCGACGGAATTCCGTCGACCCAGTGCCTCGACCCCGAAGGCCAGTAGTGGTACTAGTTAAATAGTGCCACTACTGGCCTTGAGCTAGTACCACTACTAGCCTTGGGGGCTAGTACAATTACTGGGTATGGATTAGTAGGCAGTGGCTAGTTACCTTACCAGGCAGGGGCTATTATGACACCTAGTAGACGCACTACCCACGCTATTTACGTGCGTGTTGTCAAACTAGGTGGAGCACGGTGGTCGTATGCATACGGGGCATAGCCTTGTCGAACAAGCTTGTTACTCGGCAACTAGCCTAAAATTAGCCAAATTTACACGCTCCTGCAATGTGATTTTTGCGCTGAGAATTCCTCTATACGTAAAAAAAAATTCACTAGCTAATTTTGAAATTAGGCATTTTTTACGAGTGCCTCCCTTGCTCCTCGTTACAACATATATGGACATTAGTAGTCAGAGCCATGCACGTTAACAATGCCGCTTGTGGAACAAATGCCTACGAGCGAGAACATGTTCAGGAACCTAATTTTGCGCAGTGTTAATGAACTACGCACAGCCTCACAGTGTTACCCGCCGTTGGCTTGTTCTCGGCCAGTTTTTAGCGTGTCCCTCAATTAGGTCATTTCGCTATTAGCTCAGCTGACGAGGCCCCGGCTGGCACCTACTAAACGGATAACCTTGCGTGCAACCCCGCTTGTTGTCACGAACGCCTGCAGCTGGTAAACGTGCTGGCAAGCTTGCGTGGTAAGCGGCTTCGGATGGCTATGAGGATGTGCCTCATAGCTATCCTCGTCGCATGTTACAACCTAGGAGTCTGTGGCTGCTTTCAGAAGGAGTCCCCCCCCCCCGCTTTCGGGAGCCGGCGTCCATTTTGTGTTGCGTCGCCATTACTGTGTGTGTCTGCCCAACTGCTCTTTAGGCTTGATTGAAGGTGAGGCATCTTGTATACCATTTGCTGTGTGCTCAACAAAAAGG